GATATGCATAATACTAACAAGTCAGACGCCACACATCAACGCAAAATAATTATTGTTCATAAAAGAAAACTAAAAGTGAACACCACACACTTCATATCAAGTGCAAAACACCATACATGAGTATGATCAACAAGAGAGGAATCTAAAAACTACCATGGAGACGGAGAACAAGGTGGAGTGTGGATTCCTGAATGTTGTAATCAACCAGAGTGATAAAAAAGATTTACTGACACATATAAGCCTAGCCAAATGAACTTTCAATATCATTTTTATATAAGTATTGCACTTACCAATCCTTCACTTGTGCTCATGGAGGTAGAACCATCCTTTCTGACATGTGTGACCAAATACAATTCAGTTCTATTGATGTCCCCGGTAGGACTTTCCTCTTTCTACAAACATATAACAATATAAAAGGGTGAGCTTGGCTAAACGCCATAAAATGGAAAAGGCACATACATTTAAGGTGATTTTGGGTTCATCTTCCATATCTCGTCAAGAAATGTTAGCGGACATGGGCCATGAATTCACAACCATGTGTGCAGATATAGATGAGAAAGGAATCTGGAATGAAAAGCCAGAAGATTTAGTCATGGCTCTTGTTGAAGCAAAGGCAGATGCCATTATATAAAAACTTCAAAATGGTGAACTTCATAAGTGTTATGTCACCCCAATACTTCTAATTGCGGTTGATAGAGTGGTGATCTATGAAGGTATAGTGATGGAGAAACTGATTAATGAGGTTCTTTAGATAGAGTTGAGTTTGTTCGCCCCGGCTCAATCTATCAATCACATTGATTGAGTGTGACATCAATTTCGACTTTTTATATTCATAGCAAGTAGTAGAACATGTTTATTGATTTAAAACTCTAAGTTGAATGTTTTTGTATAATGAAACATCAGATATCGCCATTGTTTTTTTGGAAGACAGATATCGCCATTGTTAAAAAAGGTGAGCTTATTTCTTTAATACAATATAACCAGGTCAAGAAAAAATTGAATTTCTAAGAAGTGTATGAGTTACCATTCTGTGAGCTATCCTTGCACACCCAGTCCTACCCGATGAATGTAGTCTCTTAGCGCATTTCCTTGATTTTCTGCCCTTTTCACGTCGATCCTTGTCTGCTGGCATAGAGCAGAACTCAATAAAATCTTCCCAGTCTTCTTTTTTCATACCTCTTGGCCTATTCTTTTTTCGAGCAACATCCGTTTTATACTTATCATACTTCTTACGAAGTGATGATTTCCAATTTTTCCAAGCAATGTTTGCTTTTCTTAGCACTTTTTTCCTATACACTTCTGGTACACAATACTCATACTGCAATAATAATGAGAGAAGATATATTACAGAACTTAAGAAATAAAAAAAATTATTCAGCCCATTTACTTACAGTAATATTGTTCCATATGGTATTCTTGATACTGAAGCTGACATCCTTCCATGATTTGATCGCAGGTGGACAATGTGCCTTTGCAATTTTTCCAACTACAGTTGAAAACTTCTCTGATCCAAGACCTACGGGCTGCCCATATTCATTGAATATGATTTCCTTTTTTGGACCTAACAAAAGAATCCATATTTTCAATAATTAAACTAGGAAAAACTATTAAAATAAGTCATTGTGTAAATAAATGATTACCTGACTCATCATGTGCATTTCTATCACTCCCAATAGAATGCTCGTCGTTAGATTGATCCTCCAGGAAATCATCCTCCATGGATTGATTTTCATCATCTGACATATTAAAACTATCCAACATACAACATATATGATAAGATTTTATGATTTTTGAAACATAAAAATGTTTGAAAGTAAAAACAGTTAGCACAATAAGTCCTCTATTTACATATATCATCCTCCATGCTAATATTTGTAAAATTAAACCTAAGATTAACACTAAATACATAAACTAACCTCAAATGATACTTACTTGATGCTTATTAATATAAATAGTTGACACACATAATTTATTCACTAAATGAGGAGTATTTATCTTAAACCAGACCACTTTAATGTCCGAGGATAGCCTCCAGCTAAAAATAACTAATATGGGAGACTGGGAGTTGTAAGAACACATAAACAAAATGAAACAGAGTGTTTTTTAAACCTATGACAAAATGAAGTTCACTAAGTATTAGCCTTCACTAGCTACACTTTAATTCATAGAATCAAATAACTGCCTTCATCAGTTAGCCTTAAAAATAGGCTGATTTTACAATTTACATACATATGTGTCTTTCTTAAAAATAGGCTGAACAACATTATATCCCCCTTCAGATATCATTAGTAATACTCCATCCCCCCAAAAAAAGTGTCATGTTTCATGCTTGAGTAAGGGCAACTTTTTATTTTTTAGTTAATCAATCTACAAGTTTTTTTAAAAAGTTGAATAGTCAATTAGTAAACCTAAAATTCATTTCCCAGACTCTTTGGAGTAATAGACTAAAACTCCTGCAGCTTGGTTTTACCAGTTTTGTTTACAGTTTATTTGAAGCAAAGTTGACTTCTAACCAGATTACTTTATTTGGGAGTTTTTTAAACGTGGCTTTTAGATGAAGTTATTTCCAGTTTAAGTCTTAATCCGATCCATGTACCCGACTAAAATATAACTGGAGTTTTTTTACCAAAGTTGGTTGAATAAGTTGTTCAAAACCAGTCAGACACTTCCATTTCAGAAATTAATTTAATTTATCACACTTCATCTTCATGAGACTTTGGGTGCTTTTATCAAACAGTTAGAGGACATAACCAAAGTTGCATACCACCTGTAATAAACAAGCAGCCATACCTGTTCATTATGTAGATGACCTTTTTATAACAGACTATCCAAACAAGAACAATAAACGAGTGACATAAAAAAACTAGGTATTAAAGCTGTTTGTACCTGGTTGGAGTGTACTGTGCTCGTCGTTCTCGTCTGCCTCTCTTGCACGAAACAATCTTTAGGGTGAACTGAAGTAGAGTAGCAGTTCATAAATTAGGTTTATCAAATAAAAAAATGTGAGCGGGAATTCGTTTTTGGTTTGGCGCGCAGAAAGGGTTGAAGTGAAAATTATATTTCATTGTGAATTCTTGTCTTTGATTTTGATCGAGTGTTGGCGGGCAAAGATGGGCGATAGATACGAGCTCTTCAAATTTTAGATTTGGCCTGTTGAAAATTTGGGCTTGTGACTTGTAGCGCAGATCTAATAAGAAAGTAAGACATTTTCAACACATTTATTTAGTCAAAATTGAATTGACGTGTGTTGTGAGTCAATTTTAGAAAAGCGAAAGTGTCAAAAAAATGCAGTTTTGGCGTAGTGATTCTTCTTATGTTTACCAGGTAGAACTTTTCTTTTGGCGATAAAGCATATATAGAACTTCTAAATTGAACTTATGGTATACATTATTCTTCTTATGCAAAGCGGACAATCAACACCAAGGCTTGAAAGCCACTACAAAAAGTTTAATCACTTCATTTCATCTCTTTCAACTTTTCTTTCTATTTGTGTTTTTGGGGGATGTTGGAGGTATTGGTCTTACCAAGTCCTCCCTTCCACTTATTATGTTAAGGTCTGCACCCTATGTTTAGTCCCTCTCTTTTATCTCACCGTGACTCTACTGCCTGTCTAATTATTTTGAGAGTTCCTCCTAAATAATTCAGCCAACACCCCTTGACTTATTATATGTCTACTGCCAAAGTATTGGGCTCCCCTTTTCTTTGTCAATGTACCCGTGACTTCAATTATAGGGGCTGCCTATAATAACCATTGAGCTTCTTCTTTGAGAGTAAGGAGTGAAGACACCTTCCTTTCCTCTTGGTGAGTGAGAGTGTTTGTGAGTGAGCAGTGAGGTGTGTGTGTGGCGTGAGATAAAGAGAACTGAGAGTCTTTCTTCTTCCTTCCTCTTTGTGAGTTGAGAGAGAGTTCAGAGCTAAACTTGGTGAGTGGTGGAGTGGCTAAACAATCCTGGGGTGGTGCGTGTGAGTTGTTTTGGTTGGAGACCTGAGCTGAAATACACACCCAACAGTGGTATCAGAGCCTGGTTGCCGTCTGCCGCCGTACTCCGCCGCCGTCCGCCGCCGTCTTCCGTCGTACGCCGCCGTACTCCGCCGCACGCCGCCGTTCGAGGTTGCTGGTCGTTGATTGAAGACAGTGGAGGTCTTCTCACGACTCGTCCTCGCCATCGAGTTCACATTCGTCGCCAAAGAGGTAGTTGCTTGCCGACTGCTTTGCCGCTGAAATCATTCGCCGCTGAAATCATTCGCCGCTGAAGCCGAGTCCACCTAGGAGTCGTCGCCGGAGAGAGAGAGAGCCATTGGTCGTTGGTTTGCTGAGCTCGAGGCCGGATCTGGAATCCCGTCACAGGAGGCTAGCTGGGATCGAGACCTGGAATCTCGTCGCGGAAGCCGTCGCTTGGAAACCGCCCAAATCCGCCTGCTGTTCGTCGATTTCGGAGTTCGTCAGTGGAGATCGCCGCTGGAGCTGGAGCTGGTTCGCCGGTGGAACCGTCAATCGCCTGTCGAAGCCAACCCCTGTGTTCCTTGTTGGTCGCAGAAGGCCTGTAGCAGAGCACGTTTACCGGTCGCTGAGGATAGAGACGAAGGTCGTGGGCCCCTGTACTTTTGTAGTCTGGACGCAGGGATAGGAGCTGGACTTCGGGTGAAGTTGGGTTGGATTTCGGCCTGCCCAATTGCGAGGCCTGGAGGCTGGACAGTGCTTCCATTCAAAATTGTTGGATTTTGGGTTGGAGGTGTTGCTGATGGACTTGGATGCTCGGGCTATACGAAGGTGTTAGAACCACAGTCAACCCTGGAGCTGAACTGACTTGGCAGAGAGGTGTTTGGTCAACGCAAGTCAACTGATCAGTCAACTCCAGTCAAAACCTCCAGAAAAATCCCAATTTTTTAAAATTGGGTGGGTAAGGTCGAAACGCCTCTCCTAGGGTTTCGCTCCGGTATATTGACTTTTATCCCTTTTATCGCTTTTGTAGTGATTTTTTAGGTCTTTTATTGTGTAGAAATTATATTTTTAGGTTTATTATTGCTGTTAAAATTGATTGAATTGTTGTACTGTGTTTGTGCTGAAAATTTATTATTTATTTGTGCTTATACGGAAGAACAAGGGGTTTGAACTTGAGTTTGGTGCTCATTAATACTCCCCGCGTGTTCGTGCTAGTTGCTCCGTATATTTGTAGCCTTATAAATATTTAAAATTGTTTTTCAGCAAAATTTACTTTTTCTTTTGTTGCTTATTTTTCTCTGTGAAAAATGTCTGCTTATAATCAGTATGATATGGCTCCATTTAATGGAAAATCTGATTTTAGCATTTGGAAGCAAAAAATTAAATGTATTTTAATACAACAAAAATGTTTTAAAGCAGTTGGCGAAACCTATTTAATTTCTGACACGGAAGATAAAAGGGTTGAAATGAATGAAAATGCATGTTCCGTGATTTATTTGAACTTATCTGACTCTGTGATTAGAAAAGTTGGAATTTTAGAGAATGCTAAAATTCTGTGGGATAAATTGAATGAACTGTATACTGAGACCTCTTTGCCTAACCGGATATTTTTACTTGAAAAGTTCTTCAAATTTAGACTAGATATGTCTATAGATATTGAAGAAAATCTAGATGTTTTTACCAAACTTATTTCGGATATTAAGTTGTGTGGTGATAAGCATATAGATGATTATTCCCCTATTGCTCTTTTAAATGATATTCCTGATTCCTTTAGTGATGTGAAATCTGCTATTAAGTATGGTAGAGATAATGTGACTCTTGACATTGTGGTAAATGGTCTTAAGAGTAAGGAATTAGATTTAAAACAGATGGGTAATGGTAGAAAATCCGAGGAAGTTATGCATGTGAGGGGTAGAGAAAATAATAGTAGATGACATAGATCTAAGTCTAGGTCTAATTCGAGACGTTGCTATTATTGTCACGAATCTGGTCATTTCATAAGAGACTGTCCTAAATCTAGGAAAAATGAGCATAGTGAGCATGCTAATTTGACTACGTGCGAAGATGATTTAGGTGATGTTTTTATGATGAAAAAGCTATGTGATTATGACTATTTGAGTTCTGTGATATCTGATTCTTTGGGTAAATCAGATTGGGTGGTAGATTCTGGTTGTACTTTTCATATGTCCCCTTTGAAAAATATTTTTTCAAACTATAGAGAGATTGAGCATGGCTTTGTTTCTTTAGCAAATGAGAAGAAATGCAATGTGCTAGGAATAGGAGACGTATGCCTTAGTTTTTCTTCTGGTTATGTGCTTACTTTGAAGAATGTTAGGCATGTTCCTGAGCTGTGTTGTAATTTGCTATCTTGTGCTTCTCTTGAAAATGAGGGTTTGAAGGGAAAATGGGGAAAGGGAATCATGAAAGTTGTGAAGGGTTGTTTAGTTGTTTTCAAAGCTGAGATGAAAAACAACTTGTATGTTTGTCATGCTGAACATGTACTTGATTCTGTGAATTGTGTGCAACCATGTGTGCTAGGAAAGCAGTCTAGAGTTAGTTTTTCTAATTTGCCTAAGTGTACTAATGTGCTTGATTGTATTCATGCTGACTTGTGGGGTCCTTATAGTGTTTCCACTCATGGTGGGAAAAAATATTTCCTGACGTTGATTGATGATTTTTCAAAGAAAGTGTGGGTTTTGTTGATTGAGAACAAATCTTAAGTTTTTGATAAGTTTAAAAACAGGAAAACCCTTGTTGAAAAACAAACCGGTAAGAAAATTAATTTTTTAAGGACCACTGTTAGTTTTGATGATCAGCTTGGTGATTTATGTGATACTTGGGGTATTTCTATGCATAAACCTGTTCCCTCCACACCCCAACCGGATGGGGTTGCTGAGAGGATGGTTAGAACTTTATTAGAGAGGGTGAGGGCTATGTTAGCTTCATCTGGGCTCTCCAATAAGTTCTGGGGGGAAGCTATTTGTTACGCTGTTGATTTGGTTAATCTGTCCCCGTCTGTTCCCTTAGAAGGGAAATGCCCTGAATCTGTGTTCATGGGCAAACCACTTGACTTGCCAAATTTGAGAGTGTTTGGTTGTGCTGCTTATGTGAATCGTGTGAATGATAAATCTGAACTTAGGACTAAGGAATATGTTTTCTTAGGATATCATGATTGCATGAAAGGTTATAGGCTTTGGTGTAGGAGTGAAACTTGCTTCAATGTGTTGATGAGTAGAAATGTCATTTTTGTTGAAAATGAATTTCCTTGCCTACTTGTTTCTCCTGATGTTGCTCCAAATGAGGTGGAGCATTTGCCTGTTGAAGTTCATTCCGATTTACTTATTGAAACCAAACCCAAATTTGTGAATGAAAATGTTTTCATGGTGAAAATAAAGAAAATAATATTTCTATTAAGGTGGAGCATGATATGAATGTTGTATGCAATATGCTTGAGTTGCGTGATTGCCATGTTATTAGAGATAGAGACATTAGGAAGCATGAGAGAAATAATATGTGCAATGTGTTGGACTATATTTCCTCTGAGTCTGCTTTAAATGTGCTTAATTCTCTATTAATTAAAATCTTTGTGGTATTTGGTATGCTATTTTCTTTGTGTTTTGAAAATGTGATACCAAGTGATGATGTGAGCTCTACCTGTGCTAGTTATAGAAATAATATTGTTTCTTTTATTTTCTTTGTACTTGCTTTGTGTGGTTGTTGGATTAGTTGGAATCCCCAACTTCTCTCGGATGCTTGCTTGCGTGGTCTATTAACATGTGGTGTGCTCGTTAATAGTTTTGTGATGGTTTTGGTTCTGAACTCGAGGACCGATTGGTAGAGTTCATGGTTTGCATGGTAAGCTTGGTCCGAAAGGGAACTTTGGTTCTCATCTATTACTTGTATGATCGCAATGATGTACTTGTAATGGTTCAGCGATGATGAGTCTCCTCACAACCGTGTATTTGTTACTCTACACCACCTAGGACCAATAAGGTGAAGAATGTTGGAGGTATTGGTCCTACCAAGGCCTCCCTTCCACTTATTATGTTAAGGCCTGCACCCTATGTTTAGTCCCTCTCTTTTATCTAACCGTGACTCTACTGCCTGTCTAATTATTTTGATCGGCACGCGGAATAACAAATTAAAAACGTGGCATTGAGTTTTGTATAGAAGAAATAGAAATAATAAGAATCACATATTGGTTAATCAAGAAGAAAAGTAACAAAATTTTTTAAACAATAAAAAAGGAAAAAATAAATTTACGTTCGTTCCAATGGACATTGCACACTTTGAATTATGTGAGAAATAAGAAAATTAAAAATCATGGTTGTTTTTACTTGGACTGAGATTTTCTCGTCTGGTCTAATATTGTTAGTCTGGTCTGAACTGGTCTGGTATAGTAAATGTTTGTTCTCTATGTATTTTATAACTGTCCAAGTCTAATCTGATCTGTCTGGAACTAAAAACAATGCAAGTAAAAACATTTTGATGCCGTTTGACAACACTATTTTTCGGCATATTATTCTTACCAGCCAACTTTTTCACCAAACACGTAACTTTTGTTTTCACGCGCTGAATTGTGTAATAAGCAGAAAAAGTAACGTTGGAATTAGTTTTCTGGCTGTATTGGCTGAAGTTACTGTAGATAATCATTTTAACTATTTTTACATACTCGTATAATTTTTTCTTTATGTTATTAATATAATATATTTTAAAAATAATTTTCTTAAATCAGCAGAATTAGCCAATACAGTCACTTCAACCAGAACTTCATAAATTTTAACAGAATCAGCCAAAACAGCCAATTTTCGTTTTACCAAATGAGCTCTTTATGAGATTAAGGTTTGAATAGAACTATAAATTAATTATTTAAGGTTTAAATATGTGTTTAGTCCTTACAAATATAGTACATTTTGTTTTACATCCCTGCAAAATTATTTTTTTGTTTTTCGTCTCTGCAATTACGTTGGTTTTCTTTTTAGTTCATCATTGATGATAACAATCTCCGCTTGACCTCAAAATAACCCCGATTAATAGATCTCCTCTAATTCTTTATCATGTTATTTAAATAGTATTTTATTGTATTTTTTAGAAGGTTTTTAATATATATTTTTAAAATATGAATTCTTAGGTTTAAATAATTTTAACTCTCATATTAACGTCAAAAAATTATAAAAGGACAAATTTAAATATGTCTACTAGATTTATGTAACTGACAATAATTTTTGTTGTAAATAGAATAGTTTTGGAACTGGAGATAGACTAAAAAAATACATATTACAGGGATGAAAAAAAAAACATTTTGCATAAACCTAAAACAAAGTGTGTCATATTTAAACCTTTATTTAATGAGAGAGTTTTATTTGATAACTCGAAAGGGAAATCTGGTTAAATCGAATGAGATCGAGGGAATAATACGAAATGTACCAGAAATTTCTTATTAGACGTGGAAGCCGGTCTATCGTGAGTCACAACACAGTCTGCCATAAACGCCTTGGATCTGCTTCGGATAAAGACCCACCCGCCCATATAAAGCCCTCACTCGGACAGCGTGGATAACGTGGCGCGTGACCAATGCATCACCGTTCTCACGTTTCTGCAACCGTACCAGCTCGACTTCCATTGATTCACTGAATAAATACCTCGGCCCCAGCTCTCGTTCTCCCACTCGCCATCCACATTCGCAGCACAAATATGTCATCTTCTCTGGTCCAGTTTCCTTCGCCGGAAAGTAATGGTTCCAGTTCTAACCACGAAGACGGTAACGACCGGCACGATTCCGGCTTCTCCACCCTCGACGAACCTAGCTTCGCTCTACTGCCACCGGAGTCGTTTCTTCAGGCCGCCGTGTCTCTCAAAGACCAGGTGAGCTACACTGTCCGGAATAAATGGCCATTTATTTTTATGAAGGAAATCAATAAATGAAATTCGATTTTTGTTGGTGGTGTGAGATTGTCGAGGTCACGTGGAAAGCACGCGGCGGCAGTTCGGGTGCTTATTTGGATCCGACGGTGTACACGGGGTTGATGGGGACGGCTTACACCTGCCTCCGGTCGTTTGAGGCCACCGGAAATCGCCGTGACTTGCTATTGTGCACCGACATTGTTGACAGTTGCGCGTCACTCGCCTCCACCAGGTTCGTGTAGATCAGTTCTCAGTTATTTAATTTGTGTCTAATTTCTCCGGTTAGCTGTAAATTTAGTAATTACACGTATTTTGCCGTGACTAGTAGGAGTAGTTATGGAGTATAAAAGAGAGATGACTTAACATAACAGGGGACATAAGCTTTGCCATAGATGATAAGTTAATATGCATTGCTCTAAATAGAACTAAAACACATTTAAAAGGGTGGGGTAATTTGAGTTTGCACCTTATTTTATTGTGCAAATTAGACTTTGCACCCCATTTTTTAAAAACCTTTGTTTTGCACCCAACTCCAAATGAAAAGACAAAAATGCCCCTCCATTAAAAATTTTGTTGACCTTCAACATATTCCTGATGGAGGGCATTTTTGTAGTTCCATATAAGGGTGGGATGCAATTTTTTTTTATTATAAAAAAACGGGATGCAAAGTCCAATTTGGACAATAAAATGGTATGCAAATTCAAATTATCCCTAAAAAGATTATTTATGTTCAATTCTCGTTCGCACGGGTAGCACAGTTGGTTCAGTGTCTGGGAAATTTGGAACAATAACCAATGTTCGAAACTCGCGACGGCCGTGTGAAAGTTACAGCTCCTGCATGCTGGGCTGGACCTCTGGTGCGCACGAGTATAAAATCTACTATCATTGGGTCTACTAAGTCATAGCGACTTGCTCATTCATCATTCTGTCGGGTCGGGATGTGGGGCTCTTGTGATGGGATGTGGGGCATTGATTTGTGAATGTTTACGGTTTAGGCTATTGCAAAATGGCATGTTTAGCTAAAGTCATGAAGGTTAAAAAACGATGACTGTTTTTTTTTACTATGCTAAAATAGTACTCCGTAATATGGAGCCTTTCTATTAATTTAAAGTTTTTCTCATCTAATTGTCATGTTGCGGAGCCCTCAATCCTCTCATCTAATTGTCCATTTTTATGTTAAAAAATGTTCAATTTCAATCGTTGAAAGTGGGGACTCAAATTGGGGGAGAAGTTTACTTCATTTTCAAAGAAAATGTCCTCCACTTAAATCAATTCCTGACCAGCCAAGGTTTCGTGTATTAGGCCGTGGGCCCCATTGATTTGAGAATGATGGAAAGTCATTTTCCTTTTGATGTGTGACATCTTTTACTCCGTAATTTGGATAAACAATAATGTAACAAGTGTGGAGCCCGGCAACCCTATTAGCTGAGACCCCATTTTGGACATGGTTGGCCCTCAGTTCAGTTGTTGAACCCTAACTACTCTTTGAAAATTGAAACACAGTTTTTTTGCGTTTGCTGTTTGATGAGGAATTATTCTCAGAATTGATTTATCTTAGAAGTGGGTAAAATTTCCTAAGAAAAAAATGATTTATAAAAAGTAAACTTTAGATTATTCATGATTTTGTTTGACAATACATTTTTAAAGGAATACTCCGTAGAACACATTCCTTTAACGGCGTAGCTGCAGGTAGAGATGGCAATTTCGGTTGACCCGTTGGATACCCGCACCGAATCGATTTGGTCAAACTGGGGAAAACCGGTTTGGTTATGGTTGACCCGTTGGATACCCGAAACTTTTAAATGGATAATGGTGTGGTTATGGTTCTATACTAATCTGCCTCATTATCAGCCCCGAAACCGCTCCGTTCACTAATAGTGCGGATACCCGCACCGTTACCCTATCCGTAACATTATTAATAAATTATAACTTTACATATATAATAATAAGTATATATATGCTAAATTGTGTATACTAAATTGTATATATCATATAAGTAATAATACACCAGAGCTCCACTTCAAGAAACCCTAACAGTTTTTGCTAACTAGGCCTAAAACATAGTGGTTGTGATGGATTACTACTTTTTTAGGCCTAAAATAGTTCTTTTTTTTTGTGATGGATTACTACTTTTTTAGGCCTAAAATTAAATATAGGCCTAAACCAGTTTTTGGAATTTGGATTCTGGGATTATTACTATTTTTTATTATGTTACAAGAGATATTAGGTGCATGTCATACTATTGAATTTATTTAGGTCAGTCTGCTTGATTGCTTAAATATTTACTTTTCTATGTTTTAGGGTGCTTTGAATATATAAATAACAAGTAAGATTAGAAATTTGTTATTTCGTATCATTTGGGCAAACGGTTACCCGTGGATAAACCAATTCCCCGTTGGGGCTGATACGGTTCAAATAAAAATTACCCGAACGGGTAATGGGGCGGTTTTGGGGCAGACATTTATCCAACGGGGCGGTTTCGGTTTTATGTGTACCCGTCCCCGATCCGCCCCGTTGCCATCCCTAGTTGCAGGTCTACAAGCCTGTGATGAATTGACAATAATTGAACTTTGAAGAAATAAGAGATACCTGCACAGATAGCTCAGTTGGTTGAGTGGTGGGAAAGTTGAACAATGATCAAGGATCGAATCCCGCAGCGGCCAAGTGGAGGTTACAGCTCCTGCGTGATGAGCTGGACCTATGGTGTGCACGGGTACAAGCTCTACCACCATTGGGTTGATTGAGTCACCTTGACTTACAACCCCAAAATTCTTGTCGGGTCGGGGTGTGGCGGGCCCTTGGAGTTGGAGATTCTACTTTTTGGACAACAAAAAGAAACAAGAGATTAAGTGGGTTCACGGGTTTGTGTCTGGCGTTGCTAGGTGCATAAAGAATGTGCTTGTGGCACGTCTAGTGTTCGAAGGTGGTATAATTAAGTGGGTTCCTTAAAAAAGGGAAAAATAATTAAAATACCCAAACTTTGAAGGGGTGTGAGGTAAGCACTCCAAACTTGCACATGTAATTTAAGTACTCTAAATTTTATATAAAAAGTTATTTTAGCACCATGATCTTTTATTATTTCTTTCAAAAATGCTAATTTTTTGTGTTAATTTCATAATTTACAATATTTTAGCATTCGTGAAGATACAATTAACATTTGTAAACTTCCATTGTAAAATAAATAGTATTAGCCTTCACTCAATATAATTGCAACGTTTTCACTTTGCTATTTTAAATTATGCAATTAACACCATAAATTTACATTTTTTAAAGATATAATACATGACCATGGTGTTAAAATAACTTTTCATATAAAGTTTGGGGTATTTATATTACATATGGAAGTTTGGGGTGTTTATCTCACACCCCTTCAAAGTTTGGGGTATTTTAATTATTTTCCCCCTTAAAAAAAGATGCTCTAATAACATCAACATGTTTTTTCGTACAATCAACTTATGCAACAAAATTGTGATTCACACAAAGAAGATTATTTTATGTGTAATTCTATGTCTTTTGGAATTAAAAATATTTAGGATCGATTTGGCCAATGGTAAAAATGGTGAAAAGCCTCAACTTGAGTATATAGCTCAAATTATGAATCCTCAAGCGCCTGAGAATTATTATTAGGGAACAATAATATAAATACTCCAAACTTTTAAGAAATGTGAGATAAATACCTCAAAATTGCATATGCAATATATATACCTCGAACTTTATATTAAAAGTTATTTTCGCACCATGACATTATGTTTTTTCTTTCTTAAATATAAATTTATTGTGATCATTACATAATTTAAAATACACCAACCTTGTGTAGGATGTAGTTAACATTTTAAAGTTTCATTTGTGAAATAAATAATAGTACATCCGGTTCAATATAATGTTAATTACATCCTCATAAATGCTTTGTGTATTTCAAATTATATACGTACTCAAGACCATAAGTTTACATTTTTGAAAAAAAAACATATGATAACGGTACTAACGTTTGGAGTATGTACTTACTTCACACTCAATCAAAGTTTCAGATATTTAAATTATTTTCCTGACTTACATGGCAAATTGGAGTTATTATGACTTACATGGCAAATTTGAGTGCTAACAGGTTATGTACATTTTTTGAATGAGCGGTATATATAAATTAATATATTCCTTCCAACATAATTAGAGCCCATTTAGTGTTTCTATTTTTCGGCTTATCAGGCTTATGAGCCTACTTTGTCACCCAACATGTAACCTTTGGTTTTGCGTCCTGAATTGTGTGATAATATGAAAAAGTAAGGTTGTAATTACTTTTGTGGCTGTATTGGTTAAAGTTACAGTAAAGGATCTCTGTTTTTTCATATAATTTTTTCTTTATTTTTATTAATAAAATATATTTAAATATAATTTTTTTCATAAATCATCAGCAAATCCAGTCAATTCAGCCAAAACTTTAGAAATTTCAACAAAATCAAAAACTTTATAAATTTCAACAAAATCAGTCAATACAGGCGATTTGGGTATTATCAAACGGACTCTTAATATCTATATAACTATATTGCTACTTCTTTAGAATGTTAACTACATCCTACACTAAATCAGTTAATTCAGTGTTGGCATATTTTTTTGCCTTATTTCAGGCCTTACGGCCCATGTGAGAATGCCTATTTAAGTTAGAAAAATAATACTTCCTCCGTATCACAGTAAGAGTCACAATAGGTTTTTTTTACGTATTTTAAGATAGTTTATAGTTTTACTATACACCTTTCGAAAAAGTAGGAGATTTTGGTACTGTAGCAGTACACTGTAGCAATACTGTTTACTTTATTAACGTGTATTGTAGCTAACAATACTTTTGGGATGGAATTACTCCCTCTGTCCCATAAAATAAAATAAAGTGGAAATGTATGGTTGTAGTTGAGTAAAAAAATAAATGAATAGTAGCCACAAAAAACTTTCCAATCCAAAAAAGGGAATGCAAATTATTTTTTGGACGACACAAAAAGGAAAATGGGAACTATTTTGCGGGACAGAAGGAGTATTTCCTAAAAGGGAAGTGAGGCACTTATTTTTATACGACAAAAAATGGAAAGTGAGACACTTATTGTTATACACGAAGGGAGTACTATGTACTAACCTCCATTTCCGTTTCTTTTTTATTTATTAATGTATGAATTGGTGATTGTTGAATTGGTCTTATTACATATTTCATAATTTGATTTTTATTTTTTACTATTATAGAATTAAGTATGAAGACTATCAAAGGTATGTATTAGTAAGGATGAAAATGAGAGTCTTCCAACTAAAAAAATGTTGTTGGTACACATTTTGTATACACTTTCTAGTTGTTTGCCTACACAAGCAATTCGTCCCGGAGCTGCCTTGTAGACAAACAACTAGAAAAGGTGTACACAAAAGGTGTAGAAAATATGTGTACTCCAAGCATGTTTATTTTATCAGAGGGAGTATCTTATTTGTGCTCGTAAATACGTAGTATAAAGCACGGACAAACTTGAACAAAAAAAATGTGTTTGCACCAGTGCATTCTGCATTTTTAATATTTACTACTTAGCAAACATTAGGCTGCCTGCAACCCACACATGAATAACCCAATTTTAACCTATTCAACCCAATAAACACTGCAACGTATGTATTTTGGGGTGTTATATAGGTGGATGGCACCCCTGGCCGTGGGAATTGGTAGGATTATTGACGGAGAGAAGGAGTGCAGAGCCGGTCCCAGGTGTGAGCTACTCAGCCATGCCATCAGTGGTCCGCAGCACTCCAGGCTAGGGATGGACCCGGGCCGGGCCGGTTCCGGTTCCGGGCCGGGCCCGGGCGGGCTTTTTTTCGGGTTACATGGGCCCGGAACCGGCCCGGGTTGATACCGGGTCCGGGCCTAACCGGGCCGGGCCGGGCCGGGCCCGGTTCAATGTTTTTTTTTTTTTTTTTTTTTTTTTGACTTTCTTGTTATCTCCCTACCCCCCCCCCCTCACCCCCACGCCCCAAACCTCCCTAAAACACCCAGCCCTACCCTAGGAAAAGAAAAAAAATTGAAAAAACCAAAAAAAAAAAAAAAAAATGAACCGGGCCCGGCCCGAACCGCCCGGGCCGGTTCAACAAAAACAGGGCCCGGAACCGGCCCGCCCGACCCGCCAAAACGGGCTAAAAGCCCGGAACCGGCCAACCGGGCCCGGTCCGGTTCGGGCCCGCACAGTAGCGGTCCGGTCCGGTTCCGGGCCGGTTCGGCCCGGCCCAGTCCATCCCTACTCCAGGCACTTAATTAATGTTTCGTAGTATTGCATAGCACTCACTAGTTGGTATTAATGTCATTGCCCTTTGCAATTTATTTGAAATTACACTTAAGTGTCCATTTTTTAATATTTGTGAAAAAAATAATTTTTTTACGTCGAAATGTTTGACTTTTTAAATTATAATTATTGGTATAAAAAACCTATCACATAATTGATGTGTAATAGTAAAAGTAAGGACCTATACATTTAATTAAAAAAAATATGTTGGGTGAATTTATTGACGGGGTTGGGTTGTAGAGAAAAATAATTTGACTGAATGAATACGTATAAACAGATGGGGAATTTGATTTATTGACAGAACAGGATTGCGGTTAGCTTTAGGGAGTACAGAGTAATATTTAGGAATATATTCTTGTTGGACCACTATATATTGCTGAGATATACGGAGTATCACATGATCTGGACCACTATATATTTTTGAGATATATTCTTGCACTCTGCATTTTTAATTAATGCATTATTGACGTGGAGTAACGTTTTGTCATGATTCTTAAAAAATCTTTTGGGTCATCAAATTAAATATGAATGGATTTCTATAATGGTTTTTTCTGATTTGCTGGGGACCAGGCACATAACATTTCTGTGTGGTAGAGGAGGGACCTATGCACTAGGTGCAGTTGCATGCAATTACTGTGGGGATCAGCAGAAGCGAGACTTTTATTTGAACTGTTTCCTAGAGGTAATGACACTGCCGTTTCTATGCAAGTGTCTAAATCTCTCATGAATGTATTCTGTCAAATTTCTGGACGTGATGCGACTTCTGATAGTGTTTGAACTACAATTGCTGACTTGCTGTGTTATAGTACGAAGAAAATGTTAGTGGAATACTACGTATGAAATAAGCAAACTTTTACACTTCTGACCCTTCCACAACCCTTGTTGGCTTGATGATTTTTTTAAAAGAGAAATTGATGCAAGTGCTAACAATTGAAAGGCCCTAGTTGATGTAGTCAATAGTTTAGTATTTTTGGGTGATGAAGTTGATGTTAGACCATCTTCTTTCTTGATGTAGAAGCCTGTTCTAATTCTGGATATATATATATATATATATATAATCAATGGTCAAATACTCGAATGTATACAATTAAAACATTTCAATTTGCCAGCTTAGTAGCATTCTGCTATGTTTTGCCTTTGGCTTCCTTGTCCTACCTGCCACATTCTTTTTTGGGGGAAGGAGTACAGCAAAGCAGATAATACTTGGCTAACACTTGATTATGATATTCTGTTTTTATGGGTAATGCAGCCAAGCAGATAATACTTGGATAACACATTGGGTCAAAAGATTGTGTAGTTGATTGTAATACCCTCTTTTGAGGGAGAGTACAGCTAAGCAGATACTGCTTAGCTAACACATTGTGTAGTTGATTCTGATACCCTCTTTTTATGGGTAATACAGCCAAGCAGATAATACTAAGCTAATACATTGTGTCAAAAGATTGTGTAGTTGATTGTAATACCCTCTTTTGAGGGAGAATAGAGCTAAGGCGCTAAGCACTGTAAGCAGATACTGCTTAGCTAACACATTGTGTCAACAGATTGTGTAGTTCATTGTAATTGTGTAATATGTTAGTTAGCAATAGGCGGATAATTTTACCAGTTATGTATAGAGTTGGCAAAAGGGAAAAAATCTTTACAGCTCCGTTAAAGGGGCAGGTCGCTAGGGCTACTAGCCCCCAACCTCCACTCAACCCTAATATTTATATATACAATACAGTATATATTTATATGCACATACATGTTTTATCAGCAAGACAAAATCTGCTATTCGCACAGAATGGAAGAGTTGCAACACACTTTATGATGGCGAGAGTTTAAATCCCTCCCTTAGTTTCTTAGTTTTTTAACCCTTTTGAGAGATTTGAACTTGTTCCAAATGTTTTTTGGATAGAGACCCTATTTGAGATTTTTCCCAAAAAGTTACTAATAAAAAATATATGGACAAAAATGTGACTATAAGTTACTATGATAAGTTTTAAAGTCACTACGATATAACATTTGAATAAAATTATAGTCACTAAAGTTACTACAGTTACATTTCTATCCACTTCTTTTATTTTGGTCATATATTAGGAATTATTTCTAATATTTTTGCAACTTAATTTTTTTCTAGTTCCAACTACATGTTTGATCAGTTGATCCGTCCCTTAAATCATTTATATATTATACAATGCGTGGATAAATGTTTTTGCCAGAAATGTTCACAAAATTCTAAGCTAATGCTAATAATAGTGGAGCTTTGCTAAAGGTACCCCAAAATGGGGTACCCCATTCTTACCCCACCCTAATGGGTGGCCATAAATGAAACAACTCATCAAGTGGTGCCCCACTTAAATGAGTTGCCACCATTTAAGGCCATTAGGGCGGGGTAAAAACGGGGTACCCCATTTTGGTGTACCTTTAGCATTTTACAATAATAGTGTGTTTAAAATTTGTTTCTAATAGAGTGAAAGTACATCAAACATGAAATGTTTTCATTAAAAGAAATGTGAGGTAATTCTTGGATGATAGGAAAGTTAAACAATGAGATTGTAATGTTTTGTCGAATGATCAATAGTTTGTTATTTATATTGACTTAAGAATATGATCAATTGTTTGTGAAATGCTTACAATAAAAATCTGTCTGTTTTCAGGTAGCACAGGAGAAGGCCCTTCCTGTTGGTCCTGAAGATGGAGGATTCGGAATGTCCTACGATCTGCTCTATGGAAGAGCCGGTTTTTTGTGGGCAGCTCTTTTCATAAACCGACACTTAGGATCAGAAGTAGTGCCAAATGAACTTCTCATGCCGGTAGTTGAAGCCATACTAGAAGGCGGAAGGGCAGGGTCATCTGACAATTCAAGCTGCCCACTTATGTACAGATGGCATGGCACAAGATATTGGGGTGCAGCACATGGTCTTGCTGGCATTTTGCAAGTGTTACTGCATTTCCCACTACGAGAGAATGGTATTGAAGATGTTAAAGGCACTTTAAGATACATGATGAGCAACAGGTTTCCATACAGTGGCAATTACCCAGTCAGCGAGGGAAATCCGAGGGATAAGCTGGTGCAATGGTCTCATGGTGCAACTGGCATTGCCATAACTTTGTGCAAAGCATCTCAGGTAGATATTGATTATACCATTCACTTGTTATTCATATCATATTCAGTGTCATACACTACCAAAGGCTTACATATGTTTTTCATTAATATTACGGAGTATTATTTTGTAATTCTTGTTAGTAATTTACGTTATAATCTGTTTAGTGCCTTATTGTTAATATGGTAGACCAGACTATATTGGTTACTCTTCTTAGTAATTGGTTACTCGTATTCGTAATATCATTCAAATTGGCGACCTAACTATCCGACATTGCTTTAGTGAAGCAAAAATCTCTGTTTCTCATATTCTCACTCGGTCAGAAATCAAAGATGGTAATTTTCAAATTTAGTTTACCTCTGCTGACATGCCTAATAACATTAAGGGCGCATATTATTTGGATCTTGTGGGCATTCCAAACATCATAAATTGGTTTTGTTTTGTCTTCTTGTTCTTGAGGAGGTATGCCTCCTTTTGAGAGGTTTTGGTATTGTCCCCCCTCTCATTCTGTATTCCTTTCCATTTTTTAATGAATTTTGACTTTCGAAATAAAAAGGAATAAGAGTAGTTAATAATATTTCTTCTAGGAGGCAGTGAGAGACTTGTTTCTAGAAAATACAACGATAGTTGTGTATTTGTGTTCGAATAAATGTGTTATGTTTGTACTTTGAGGTTTTTTCGTGAAGAGAAGGGCGTGGAAAAGTTAGAATAGAGATATGCAAGCCATCCCACTTTGTGTAGATGGAGGTTGGCTGATAAGGCCATACGGTTGAAAATAACACAACTTAAAGTACAATGTTAAATGACAAAACAATGAAACTAAAGATCTAATGCCCAAAAAATGCTATTTTTGGTCGGGTGACGCAACGCAAAAGCATGCTTTCGTTTGCTTAGCTCTTTATGCAATTCATGCCAGACATGTCATTTTGTGCTATGCAATTTGAGTTTCACATGTTTTTTTGTGTTTGTGTTCCTTATCAGGTATTTCCAAACGACAGGGAATTCCGGGACGCAGCAATAGAAGCCGGGGAAGTAGTGTGGAAGAGAGGGCTGGTGAAGAAGGCGGGATTGGCGGATGGTGCTGCTGGGAATGCGTATGCATTCTTGTCTCTCTATCGGTTAACAGGAGAAAGCATATACAAGGAAAGAGCATGGGCATTCGCAAGCTTCCTGTATCACAACGGTGGCAGGGACACCGCTGGGGACAAAGCAGCAGACCACTCCTACTCCCTGTTCCAAGGGTTAGCCGGTATGGTCTGCTTGTGGTTCGATTTGCTCACTCCAGAGAATTCCAGGTTTCCTGGTTTTGAAATTTAAGCCCACCGAGTATTGACATGCTTGTCTCTCTGTAAGATACTAAAACTGAAATATATATGGACACTGAGTTAGTTGGAAATGCACTACTTTGTAAGTGCTACTGATGTATATAGTGTCTTATTTTCATTATCATGATTACTCGAACAATATTGTGATGTTTGGCTATTATATTCCCATCACAAAATGAAAACGGAATATGATATTGAATGGAGGACCATTATCTCGTTTGTGCCATGGAGTAATGGTTCAGAATGAAATTGTAAAAAGATGTATTTAGAGCCGTCAAAATGGGCCGAAACCCGCGGGCTGGCCCATTTAAACCCATTTATTGGTGGGTTAGGGTTGAGAATTTCTGACCCATTTAGTTCGCGGGTTTCGCGGGTCAACCCACACGGGTTGCGGGTTTAAGTGGGTTGACCCACCGGGTTGCGGGATGGCCCGCGGGCCATAATACAAAAATATAATTTTAAATTTTATTATCTTAATATTGTTCTTTTACTACCAATATTATTATAATTACAATTAAAAAATTACAACTATGGAAAACAAAATTTACTTTTATAATAAATATTCAAATAAAATGTTGAAAAGTATATTTTATGTAAAGTTCAATACAGTATTTAACAATTAGTAGTCATTATTTACAAATAATCAGGCATAAGGTTTATGTAGATCTTTATTTTTATTTACAATTAGTAGTATTTAACATACCCTCTTATAGTTTTTTCCTTTGTTACTACTTATTAATATAAATATATATTTTCGTGTAATTATTATTTTAAAAAACAGATTGTTATATATATTTTTACGTTGGCCCGTGGGTCAACCTGTTTAACCCACGTGTTAGGTGGGTTGGGTTAGGGTTGTAGATATTCTGGCTCATCATTAAATGGGTTGGCCCGACCTAACTCACATAAAGCATAACCTTTTACGGGTCGGGTCAGGTTGAGTCGGGTTGGCCCGCTTGACAACTCTAGATGTATTATGAATGAGTTTTCACTTTAAAAGATAATTTAATAGGAGTAACTCAAAATTCACGTGTTGATTTGGTATTTCCTATCCAAACGATGTAAACTAAATAAGATATTTTGGGGTTTTGAAGACATGGCTTATGAATATTGAATATTCCCCGCAAAAGCGACTGGAACAGTTTCAAATCCTCATTTGGCCGCATTAATCAATCGGTTTTTGAAAGTTGCTAATATGACTTTCAAAACTCATTTTGCTCCATACAGTTAAGCTTTTAAGCATTGCTATTACTGTTCATTTGGCTTCCTACACAGGGAACCTTTTAATACAACTATGATGCTGTTTTCTAGTGGACGGTCCTTTATGCCAACTACTTTTTTAAAAGACCCCCTTCGAGTAAAAATCACTTTATAGGTTAGTTATCATTTAACTGTTCATCTTATTCGTTTTTATACGGAGTATATGTATGAAAGCTTTGTCATCATAAAATATGCATGAAAGTGGAAGTTTTAATACGGTATCAAGTTTATTCACGTCTAAAAACGAGCACATGACCTTCAAATTTGACTTGTTTTAACTTTTAACACCTCTCATCAGAATTTCAAGTCTTGTGAAAGTAACCGGTGGTAATTACACCATATATAAACATGTACTAAATCGGGTTCAATTCGGAATTAAGTTCCTAATTTGACTATATTCTTTTAAGAAATGTAACTTCTTAATATAATGGAGTAAAAACAAGGTATTATTAATGGGAGGATGGAAGAGTTGTTATTTCATAATTAAATGTTGTCAAAAAAGAAATGTTGTAGTATGAATTTTAATGTGAAACATCGGAAAAAGAAATGTTAGAACTATTACTTTGACTCAAATTTGAAAATGGGGACACTGAACTACACAAAATCACCTCTAAATCACCTCAAACTAGTAAACGAGGGGATGATCAAGGTAGGCATTATCAGGGGCGGAGCTAGAGCACTAGGCCGGACTGAGCCGATACAAAGAATATTTTTTGAAAATTTTTTACACGGAATTTTTTACACTAAAAATACAGACATTTTTAAAATTTGGGCTGGACCAGGGCCAGAGATGGCCCTCCCCTAGCTCCGCCCATGGGCATTATTGTTTCTGGATTGATCGCAGTGAGGGGTGGATCTAGGAATTCGGATTGGACTGGTTTAAATTAAAGAGTAATTATACTAGACTTAAACATTAGTGGGTGAATTAAGTATGAAAAATGAAGAAATGAATAAATTCACATTAAAAAATATTAAAAAAAAATTGCATTGTTCTTCCCTCTATCATAACCTTAATGTAGACCCTCATGCCCGGGATCATTCCAATATTAAAAGATAAAAGGATAACAGCCAGAACCGGTCATATAATATCTCCAAAGATATAAAATGAGCTTTGATAACACATTAGTGGAAAAAGAATGAGTTTCAGTTTAAGTCTTTAATTAGAGTTAAACTCGAAACCTCTTCTTAAAAGAGCATTACCCATAGGTGTTGCCAAGGTGTGGGACCAAGTTCATCCACCGGTTCCAATTCAAAATAAATTAAATTTCCTAAGAAAAAATAAAGTATAATATGTAGGGTGTGTTTCGAAAAACAAAGAAAATTAATTAATAAAAATTAATTAAATAAAATGACTTAAAGAAAAAACAAGAAATGAGATGAAGCAGGATAACCCAAAGCTCGTGCTACGCACGATTTCCTTAAAACGTATCCGTTGCCTCCCGGGGTGCTAGGAGCGTTGCAAGAATCGTTTCCCAGGATACGATGACTACGAACAATAGTTTAGCACTCAAACTAAAGTTCCTAGTTTTCTCCATTCCAACGAGTGAACTTTGAGAATCAATTTCTCATTCACCCGATATCCGTTTTGAGCGTACCATATATCGAATTGTAGCCCTAAGCAAGTACAATCCGAAACCACTTTGACCCGACCCAAATCGGAAGTGGACCCCACTCAAAAAATTGCCCCAAAATTACCATTTAATGCAATTTCCAACACATTTTTCCATCATAACATATTTTCTGAAATATGAGTGTTAATGTTTTCAAAATGATAGTAAAAAACATAATCAAAATGCACTGGTCCTAAGCCTAATTTCAAACTCACGAGAACCAATATATATGGGTGTCAAATTTGAAGAAGTGGTCCAGCCCAGCTGGTTGCCGACTCACTCTCCCTTATGGGAGGTACCGGGTTCAATTTTCAATGGAGTGAGATTGATCTCAGTTTACCTCAGGGCCCCCAACGCCCCCTGGGGTAAAAAAAAAAGGTGTTAAATTTTAATTCAAAGCAATAGCCATGATCTAACTCAGATTTGAATCCACTGTCGTTTCTCTCCCTAAAGCTAAGAGAGGACTTTTGATCCCTTTGGCATGTTGTGATAGCTTTTGTGTATGGTCTTTTATGTCTTTGTTAGACCTGGACATCTGTTAGTTACTAAGTTCGTTAAGGAATACCTTCTTTTGTTTTGCATTTTGTTTTTTAGTTCTCCCCCAGGTTGTTTCATGATTTTTATTTTTTTTTCGAAATATTGTTTTTTGTTGTTGTTAATTGTTGGTTTGATGTAAATCTTTCTAGTGTCACTTGTTGTAACTTTTGAAATGTTGAGCATTGTTGTTGTCTTATCATATTTATTATTGTTGAATTGTATACTTGTTCTTGTTCCTTATTTCACTTGCTGTTTATTACTTCGTATTTGTTTTGTTTTATAGTGCTTAGTTTTCAGATCTGCACAATGAACTGAATTGTTTTTAGTGAACCGAAGATAAAAGTTATTGTTGAAAACACTTTTACATAGATAGTGTCTACTTAACAATAGGGTTAATTACCTTGACTGGCTTTGATGAAATTTGAACTTAGGCTTTTATTTTGAAGAGTATGCAACAACTCATCAAAAGTTTTTCGGGTTAAAATAACTTAAAATTATTGAAAAATGTATATGATCTATGCAGTGGTGGAGCAAAACATTTGTCAAAGTGGACGTACTAAAACCTAAGAATTATTAGGTACTTGCTCAAAATATATATAATGAGAACAACAAAAGCATAATATGTTAGCACAAATTATAGTTCATTACATACTACTTGTCTACTTGACTCGTTCATATTATCCAGACACATCAATCCTATAAGTTTTCATAGGTTCAAAGTGTTGCATAATAACTTCATTTTAAGTAAACATGACCTTTGACCTCTTCCAAAATCACGAGTTCACAAGTTACATGTTGGAAATGTAATAAGGGGCGGCGGTTTGTAACTTTTGGAAAGCAGTGGCGGATCTTAAGTTCATAAGTTCCAAAATACATAAATTGTTCAAAAGTTACATACTTACATGTTGATGAAAACGGAAAATGTCAAAAAAAAACATGGTTACCTGGGTGGGCGTGGTTGCCAAATTTGCTGGACGGGGGGTCAGCAATGAAGTTGTTCAATAAAATGCCAATTAAAAACTACTACGTAATTTAGGAGAAGTCTTTCTTTTAGAAAAAAGAGTTGAGTAGTTAGGGGGTGTTTGGATCTGATTCTTAAAACTGGAGTGTTTGGGTGAAAGTGCAGAAGTGATTCTGGTGCTCTAATTTACTCCTAGAATCAATTTTTTTAGAAGTTGGCGGTGACTAGTTTCTGAAAACTGATTCTGCTTCTACTTTAAAAAAGAAGCTTAAGCAGAATCAGTTCCAAACATCCCTTAATTGACTATGAAAAAATAAGCCTTCCAAGTTCCAACTGCTCCAAAGATTGGTTTCATAGTCAACTCGTTTGGGACCTCTTATCATTTTGTTATCGATTTTATATCTTAGACTATATACTTTCTTAATTCTTATCCCACTACAATAATTCAGCTAATAATTGATACTCACAATAGGTATTAATACTTATGATATTATCAATTTAAGATAATACCGAGTATATTCTAATTATTGTGGAAATGTAATATATTTTGTCGTTGTTTTAGTTGATTTTAAACAATTTCATTAGGTACAAAGCTGCAAATCAAGCAATTCATAATCGGTTCCAAGTTATTCACTTTGACTTAATCTTAAACCAGACCACGTATATAATTAAAAAATTTGACCAAACCAAAATAGAACAACACATATAAGAAGAATTAACTTCTCAATTAGACAAGTTAGACCAAACTAATCTTAGAAAGGTCCAAATGAGCCGGTTGAAATCTTGAATATAAATCGATATTTATATGGAATACGGAGTATTATATAACGTTATAACATTTTCAAAATAAAAAATTAAGAGGCTTTTTTTATAAAACATAGTTTTATATTCTATTCGATGTAAGATGACATTTTGATGTCTTAAGAATTGAGTATACACAATTATCTCCACATCAATAAGTCACCGATTCAAATGATGTGAGTGCAGATCACCAATCCATTACATATCGACACATGCCATGGCTTGTGGCACAATGCTATTGATGTACGTAACTGTCTCATATGAACTACGTAGTGATATACTTCGTATTTAAATATATATATATGTATGACGACCTCTATTTTTAGGTTATAGGCTCTCTTGTCATGCTTTCCAATTGTAGTTTTCATTTTCTTTGCAGTATTTATGTCCACAAACACCTTGTTCTACTTTATTGGTTAAATATGGACTAGTTTTTATGTTGGGTAGTTCAATCTTTCAGAAAGAAAAGTTAGCTCATCTGGTCGAGGAGTCGGTAATACTCCCTCCATTCTCCTATAATTGTCCAATTTTGTCATTCTTAGATGTCTCCCTATTATTGTCTCATATCATATTTGGTAATATTTGTGGGCTCTAATTCATTCTTATTAGGGCCGGTCCCGAAGAAATGTAGACCCTGTGCGAGAATAAAATTTGGGCCTTTTTTCAAGTTGCTACACAAGCAAATTGTCTTAAAATACAACTTACGAATAAATGTAATGATAAATAGTCATTAATAACTTACAATTTATTTAAAAAGGGACATTCTTCAAGCATATTTAGATTTACGCAGGGGAATTTTGGGCTGGGGCGTAATACTAATTTTTTTTGGGGGCCCTTCAAAAATCCGGGCCCTGTGCGGTCGCACTGGGCAGCCATGCCCTGGGCCGGCCCTGAATTTCTTAATTTATTCCCACTTTATCAATTCATTATCAATTATCAATTACATGATTCTACTTTTCTTAAAAACGATATCACTCTCTTCCATCCCAATATTAAGGGGACGGAGGTAGTAACTTTTTTCGAGTGAAAGAGTTAACTTTTCGACCGAAATTTGTCATGTTTGATCAATGACACTCTCGAATATGTATTTGGAAGTAATTTAGGACACATACACTGAATGAGTAAAGGGCAATTTCTCATGTGTGATGACATGTAGATGGTGGTGGATTGGTGAGAATCCAATGGATTTTTGAACGATTCGGGTTTATTTCTCTGTCCAAAAGATTGAATCCTCTATATCAAGGGCTTCCACGTTTGGACCCTATAAGACATCAAGGAAGTTATTAGTCACGGTGCTTAATTAACTCAATGATGATGGACCTTCAATTCTACATATGCACACCAGAAGTATAGTTCAGCACATAGGAGCTGTAATCTGCGCCGGTTGCAAATTTCCATCTTTGCTCAACGTTTAAACGTTCTCACAACTTAACCAAGTTAACTAATTTGATCGATTATTTCTCTTTCTTTGATGGATTGTCGAAAGCTCGCCATTAATCCGGTAAAACTTGCGGTGGGCCTTGCGATGCCACCCATTTCACTCACTTTATTCTGTTCCAAGTTGTTTATTACATTGGCCGTTGACATCTAGGACAACGAGTGGTGGAGTACTACTCCACTTCTGTTCACGGTGTACATTACCTAACTGCTACATTGAGCCAACGAAATTATTAATTCCTAGCCATAAAAGTAAGAGGCCAAGATCATTCTAGGAATAGTATTTAGGTGCACAGTTTACTTAAAAAAAGATGACACTCCATCCCAGAGGATCTCTAATACCGACCGGACGGTACGATGGGAGAATGTAAATTGGACTATAATCACAATCTGACAGATAGAGAGTGATGATATGTCCCCGGTACTTGCAGAGGCCCTCTATTGAGTAACCTCTCATCGCAGTTCTCGGGATTAAAACCCGGGACCTAACCCTCGTGGCACTCCCTCGTTACTAGTTGAGCTACGCCCACCGGTCACAATTTACTTTTACTACTCCCTCCGTCCATTTTGGTTGTCCTACTTTCCTTTTTGAATTGTCCCAAAATGAATGTCTTGTTTCCTTTTTTGACAAGAAATATGTGGTTCTTATCATTTCACTTTATTTTATTCAAATCTCAACCACAACTTTTACTTTTCAATCACTTTATTAATAATCGTGCCAAATTGAAAGTGGACAACTAACATGGGATGAAGATAGTATAAAATACGGAGTACAGAGTATGAAAGTATTAAATTTTTTATTTCAGATGTTAGGATGCCTAATAAAAAAATGAAATAATTCTGAATATATAACCAAAAAAAAGTGAACAAAAATGAGAGTTTAATATGTACATCAGTGATTATAATTGTATTCAAATATTACATCGTAGTCACTATAAAACTTACTTATAGTAATTCATTGTGACATTTTTTCAATAGTTTTTTTTATTAAAAGCTTGTTTGGTGATCCTGTTTTTCATCTTATCAGACTTAGCAATCAACTTTTACACCAAACATTAACTTTTGATTTCGCGCGCTGAGTTGTTTAATACTCCGTACTTAATAAAAAAAAGGGAAAAGGTGCAAATAGGCCCATGTACTAACAAAAAAAGGTCAAATAAGCCCTCATTTAGGAAGTTCTGTCCGGCCGTCGTCATTTGGGGTGGTTCCCGGTGGATTTTTTTGATGAATTTTTTTGAGCATCTTATTCATCAAGTCTAGTTTTCTCTTACCAAATTTCAGCTAAAACTTCAATCGAGAAGGCATTCAAATGAATTCTTGAAGATAACTGCGCTTCTAACTGCGCAGTTATTTTCAAGAATTCATTTGAATGCCTTCCTGATTGTAGTTTTAGCTGAAATTTGGTATGAGTAAACTAGACTGAATGAATAAGATGTTCAAAAAATTTCATCAAAATATTCCACCGGGAACCACTCCAAATGACGACGGCCGGACAGAGACTCCTAAATAAGGGCTTATTTGACCTTTTTTGGTTAGTACATGGGCCTATTTGCACCTTTTCCCTAAAAAAATAAGGTTGGTGTACTTTTCTAATTGTATTGGCTGAAGTTACCGTAGAGCAAGAGTAGAATTGGAAAACTAGTCTTATATAGGAAATTGTAAAGTTTTAGTCCTATTTTGGCAATAAAAGTTTCATTTAGTCCAATTTGGGGAATTCAATTCGTATAAGCTAAAATGATCCTCTACAGCTTCTTCAACCAATTCAATAAAAAAAACAACTTTGACTTTTCTTATTTTGATTATTACACATTTCAGCACTCAAAATTAAAGTTAGGGGTTTTATGAAAAATTGACTAGTAAAACTAATACATCAAAATTCGGAAAAACAGAATCACCAAACGATTTCTCAATCCCACACAACGTTAGTGTGAATAAAAGTAGAAAACCATATCCAAAATGTATACGGTAAAAAACATTCTTCTATCTGGTAATATTTCTTGCCAACAACTTTAATTTTATAATGTTAAAGTATGCTCCTTACAGTGTATTTTGGGACAAATTTTATAGAACCTTATATAACTCCACTATGGAATCATATACTATATACTATCTCCGTCCCGTTAAGATTGTCTCATTATACTTTTTCGATCCATCCCACCAAGATTGTCTTATACCAAATTAGGCTAAATTTATATGCCTCCAAATTATTCTTAATTTATTTTTACTTTATCAATTCAATATCAATCACATAACTCGCTTTTTATTAGTTTGCATGTCATTTGCTCTTGTCCCATAGTTAGTGGGACATAGGGAGTATCTCATATGACCTTATATCAATCATTCATTTTTAAAGTGTATTTTTAATGAAATACCTACTTTATAAATGAATGATTTTGATGATGCATATGCTATTTCACTCCATAGTGAGTGATGTAGGGCTCCATAAAATTTTCCTGTATTGGTGTTGTTCGATAAATGAAAATTTGGGGTATGTCCATACCTAAATTAACCCTCGGCTACGCCCCCTACTTGCTTAAAATTACCACAAGGCACAGGCCACTCAGTCAGTAAGATAGAAAAGCAATCATCACTCCAAAGTCTACACTATTAATGTAGTTGCGCATTGTGCAATATGTTCGAGGGAGTACCCAAATTGAGTCAATCAGCACTAACGGATCTCATTAATTAGTGTTTACAAAAACTTGTAAATTTAGTTTACATTCGAATTGATATTTTTTAGTTGAACCGATTGAATTGGTTAACCGCATTTAAATATTTTGTCAATAAAATAAAGAAAAACATGTACGGAAATAGCTCATCAAATGGTTCCATATGATAATTTTAGTCTATTGAGTCAGAAAAGTAGTTCTAACCTTACATGTTTTTATTATTAACACAATATAATGTCCGAAACCAAGAGTTACATACTTCGTATTGATAAAGATGTTGATTGATAAGTATGATAAGTTAAAACTATGAATTATCAAATAGAGCCCGTTTGATAATACAAAAATTGTCCGAATCAATTGTATCTGATGAAATTTATGAAATTTTGACTCAATTGGTTGAATATGCTAAATTGTGAAAAATATGTTAATAAATATAGAAACAATTACATAACAAATAACTAAGTAATCATCTTCAATAATTTCTCTCTTCAACAAATAAACGTAAAATGATACCGTTACGGTTTTATATATTCAAAAAGTTTGATATCCACTCGATTAGTTGTGAGTTAAAACTTTGGGTAACTAGTAATCTAGCATACTTTATAATTATTATATACTTGAAAAGGGCCGAAATCTCGAGTAACAATAAAACAAGTTTGTCGTTAATAAACTATTAACAAAAGACGCACATGGATCCAACTAGATACAACCTGCTTTTTCAAATAAATTCCATTTTTTTAGTTAGGTGTTTGAAGTGTTACCATCACAACTGTTTGACAATTGGAATATAATCAAATAATTGTTAGTATGTTGAGGCTACATGCATCTTATATTTAAATTTGGATTGATATAGTTTAGGTAAAAATTGCACAAATCTAAGCCAAATCAAAAAATTGTACAATATATTTTGAAGAGTAAACTCCGCTTTTGGTCTTACGAGTATCACACTAATTCCACAATTGGTCCATGTATGTGACTTTGACAACTTTTAATATATGATTATTGTGCTTTCATGCATATATGATCTTTACGGCAATGTTTCTGATGGTTAAAATAATCGGAGAAGGAACACAAATGGTCAAGTAACATTAGCCAAGAATCAAAAGTGGACAAAATGAAAGACGCGGATTAAATGTTGAAATAGCATAAAACTCGTAAGAGTGGTATAAATTCATATTCTCAAGGATTACTAAATTAAGCTACAAAAAAGGACACAGCCCTTCGGTGTTTGGTTGAATGTAATTACATTTGAATGGACCAATGTAATTGACTACTTATAATGAAAATTGTCTCTATAGTAGCTCCATAATTGAGAAGTTCTTTAAGAATTGTCATTAAAGATTTTGAGAGATTTTCAAATGCGATTCTTCGAAAATCTATTCTTTCTCATCAAAATATTTCTCAAGCAATTATAAAACAAAATGAAACCTTGATTTGACCCTAACCAATCAGCGTATAAAACCGTATACAGACATAGGTTTAATATTAAAAAAAATCATATTCATTTATACAAAATGAAAATTAATTAATCAAACGAGATCAAACCTGTACCGCTCATACCTTTTTAAAGTGTTGTAACTTTAGCTTCCTAGGGCTTTTCCGCAGCCGCCTAGGGCTTTTCCTAGGGGATTGTCCGGTGGCGAGTGACGACCTCTCTGGTCGCGGCCAGTGGCGGAGCCAGAAGTCTATAGTTAAAGGGGCCGGTTCTTGAAAATTTTACTTTGCAGGGGCCAAAGTTTAAAATATCAACATATTTTCTATAGATTAAATGTATTTATGCATAATATATACTTAAGAATTTTTTTCCTTGCAGGGGCCGAGGCCCCCTCCAGCCCTTCCCTGTCTCCACCCCTGGTCGCGGCACCGGTTGTTGTAATGAGTGTGGTTGATCGTCGTTTGCTTTCTGCTAGGTTTCTTCGATTTGAAGTTTCGTCCGTCGCCGGTTTTGGAGGTGAGAGCAGGTTCGGAGTTTCTGGCAAAAGGTTAAAGCAACAGTTTTGCGGAAAGTTTCGTGGACAAGTACATGAAGATGGCGATTGGGGCAGAGGAAGAAGAACCGGATCTAGATGAAGCTGATGTTGAGGTTGTGACGGATGAGCGGCGGGCGCGTCCTCCTCCTGAGCCGCTGCCATGGAGTGCAAGCAAATCTAGGGTTTGGAAGAAGATGAGTGAACTCTATTTTAATTCAGTTTTATTCAGTTTGTGTTTTTCTGACGAATTGCATGTTGTTTTGGACGTGTTCCTTTTTCCTAGCAGAGATATTCTTGAATTTAGGTTAAGTGATGAGAAGTTTGGTTTGTCAGTCATTGACTCAGTTAAGCTCATTACAGGATCAGCGAATGTTATTGCTTCTACAAAGACTTTTTATCACTATGTTTACCTCTTTTTCTTTGATTGTATTATCAACCATGTGACGAACATTATTTTGATTTAATATATTAGTTAGATTGAATGATTAAAAAATCAAGAAATAATTACATAAATATGACTAAAATAAAGATGATTTACAAAAATATGACTAGTTACTAGAGTAGTAATGAAATCGTAGTAATTCATATTCAAGTTTTGAACTTAAGTTACCATAACACTACGTTGTAGTAATGAATAGTCATATTTATGTAAATAAGTTTTATTTTAGTAATATTCTTGTAAAAAACCCTTTGCAAAGAAAATACTGATGTTTTAAATAAAAAAGAGTGGCAGTTTACCTTATAAATGTGAAATCTTCATTTTGCATTGTTATGGTGCAGTTTTATGTTCAAATTTAACATTTTTGTGGTGGTGAAAACATTTACTTCATTACGAAATTATCACCAAATTTTTAACTCAATTTGTTCTAAAATTGTTATTTTTGGAGTCAATCTCATATTTGGTGAAAGTCAATCTCATATTTGGTGAAAATCAATCTCATATTCAATAATCCAAAATCTATATTTTTATTAATGTTATGTACTATGTATATATGTTGTGTATACACAAAAACAAATTCTTCCACTTTATGAAGTAGAAGTTAGTAGTCTTTGAGAAAAAAAGTGTTTCTAAAAAAAGTAAAAGTCAGTAGTGTTGATAAAAAATACTTCCATTTTATGTATCTCTCAACCCGCTTTCAGCTTTGAGCTTCTAAATGCTAAATTTAAGTAGAAATTACTACTTAAAAACACTCATTTAAACATTTTTAAGCCAAAAGTTGAAAACGTTATTTTTTAAATTTTTTGAAAATGCTCTCCAAAAGCTAAAAGCGTGTTGTTTGTGACACTCATATCTTGCCCTATGTTCTTCCATTTCAAACGTATTATATCACGTAGGAAAAATCATTTTGAGGTCTAAAATTATTGTTCAAACTTCATTTACAATGCATTAAGTAAAAGATACAGATTAACCTAAAATTCACAAACATTTCTGATTTCCCTCTGAACTCGTGTAGAATTTGATTTGATCATATCTTGTTGTTTTTAGATTCGTTTAAAGCGTTTTCTATCTCGTTGAAATATCTAATCAAGTTCTAAAACTCGTTTTTAGGCGTCGGTTTCAAAATTTTACGGGATTATTATCTAATGAACCGAATTTCTAACCAAGACTGTATCTATGCTAAAAAGCTCAATTTACGCTGAAAAACGCTAAAACACATAGAACATACTTAATATTTATGACACTCATATCTTACTTTATGTTCTCCCGTTTTAAGATTATTAGGATGTTTTTCCTTGGACTGAAATTTGTTGGTCAGGTCTTGTCTAGTTTGGTCTGGTCTGGTTTGGTCTGATTTAAGAATGAAAACCGTCAAAGTAAGAACGTGCTTATGGGAGTGTTTGCAACTGCTTCTGCTTAAAAAAAAAGCACTTTTGGAGATGTAAGGAAAAAGTGATTAGTAGGAAAAATTGATAGTGTTTGAGAAAAAAGTGATTTTGAAAAGTAAAAGTTGATAGTGTTTGGTAAAATAAGTGTTTTTTGTGTAATAGAAAGGGGAAAAGCACTTTTCACACGCAAGCCGAGAAAAAGTAAAAATTGGTAGTGTTTGGTAAATAAGTGCTTTTTTAAGCCAAAAACTGAAAAGTGCTTTTTTAAAAGTGATTGCAAACACACCCTATATCTCGTTTGAAAAAGCATTTTCAAGATAAAGAAAACTTAACGCCACGTCTCCACCTGCTTTATTTCTACCACTGGTTGTCCCTTTAAAATCCATGTTCCATTTTGGTATGTACACTCCTCTTCCCTGCTGGTTAAGTTTTAGACTACTCTTCTTTTCCATTTCACACAAGAATAAAAACACATGATCTTCCACTCAATCCCCTCATTTCTAACCATATTTATTTTTATTCAAACATTCCATCTATCAATATTAAATATATGCGTGTATAGACATATAATCTAATCCCTTCCCATACTATATTACGGAGTATTATATACTCCGTATAAGTCTCATGCATGTTTGTGAGAAAATAGTGAAGGAGAGATAACCAGAATGGAAAAGTATGAGATTCTCAAAGACATTGGTTCTGGGAATTTTGGAGTTGCTAAGCTGGTGAAGGATAAGTTCAGTGGGGAGCTTTTGGCTGTCAAATATATTGAGAGGGGCCACATGGTATATTCATATTTATATTCTGGGAGATTGTTTATAAGCTCAGCCATTAATTTAATTTACTAGTGATTGCAATCTGGCTTCATCTTCTGTTAATAGATTGATGAACATGTTCAGAGGGAAATCATGAACCATAGGTCCCTCAAGCATCCCAACATCATTAAGTTCAAAGAGGTAATTAATTAAGTAGTTAATTAAGTAATTAACAATGTTCCTCATAAGATTTTTTAAAACCATCAGATCGATTATCCTCTTTTTTCAAGTATTTGGGAATTTCTTAACTGAAAGGGCAGGTCAGGTCATTATTTAATTAAAGAAACCTGGCCTTTTGGCTGTTGGGGGTAAATAACTCTACAGAGTAATTAACTCTACAGAAAGACAATTAGTATGAAAATCTTGGAGTGGATCTCTGAGATGAAGAATCATATGGTTTTAATCGAAGCAGATAAACAATTTTTTTAAAAATCGCAAGTAATTAATTTTTTTTTTGAAAATAAGTAATTATTTATTTATATATTTAGCTCGAGGTAATGGTGCAGGTGTTTCTGACGCCGACTCATTTGGCCATAGTAATGGAATACGCTTCAGGTGGAGAGCTTTTTGATAGAATTTGCACTGCTGGAAGATTCAGTGAAGATGAGGTCCACTCAATTCTAACCTTTAACTTGTTCTTCATCATAACATTAGGAGCCTGTTTGGTAGCACGAAAATCGGCTGATTTGACTGATTATGCTAAAATTTATAAAGTTTTTACTGAAGTGATTGCATTAGCTGATTCTGCTGATTTAAGAGAGAAAAAAATTAATTTTTTTTTTGATAAATTAAAGAAAAAATCATATGTAAAAATAACTAAAATGGTAATCTACAGTAACTTCAGCCAATATAGCCAGAAAAGTAACCTCAACCTTACTTTTTCTGCTTATTACATAATTCAGTGTACAAAAGCAAAAGTGAAGTGTTTGGTGAAAAATTGACTGATAAACCTGATAAGCTGAAAAACAATGTTATGTTGCCAAACGGCCTCTAAGTTATCGCTATCCCATTCAATATATATCTAGAATACAAAATCATAATTTTATTTGTAGGTTACATCTATATCATAATTTTATAGTTACAAACCCGTTTGGTAACTCATATTTTAAGTTTATTGAGTTTGTGAGTCAACTTCTTTATCCTACAAAATGAACATATAAATTTTTGAATTACTTCTTCTACATAGCATGTAATTGACAACTCTTTGAGGCTTTTATAACGTTAAAATTGGTTGAATATGTTGAAGGAGCCGAAATTGTTTAGGTTTGGCTGCATCCGCCAAATTATGAAAATTTTATTCATTACTCCGTATTAAATACAAGCTAAGTAAGAAAAACAATTGTGGAAAAACTAAAATTCTCCTATTCAACAAATTTATCCTGTAAATATTTCAAGCCATAATTAGTTATTATTATGGAATTTATCATGCAAAACAATAATTGTCTTTTTTCTAATTGTTAACTGCTCTCGTTGCCAAATTCTATATTGTAGGCAAGATTTTTCTTCCAACAGTTGATATCAGGAGTTAGCTACTGCCACTCTATGGTACTTTGCTTCCCCATTCTAATAGTTGTTTCTTCATGAGTTTCTCTATGTTCTTAAGGACTTAAGGTGATATATGATTTCATGGTTTGGATATTGTTGTGCAGCAAATTTGTCACAGAGATCTCAAGCTTGAAAACACACTCTTGGACGGAAGCTCTACATCGCGCCTCAAAATATGCGATTTTGGTTATTCAAAGGTAATCAACAATGTACATCCTCTAGCAAATACTACTTCTAGCCTAAAACCAAGTTTCTGCTTGACAAACCAATATATTTATGTCAAATCAAACAAACAAAAAAGAGAGCTAAAATTGTCTATTACAAGTTTTTTTAATGGGAAAGAAAGATTCATTTTGAGATGCCTATGTTAAGAAAGTGACAGCTTATTTTTAAGAAGAGAGATGTATAATTGCATATACCAAAGACAGATGCCACATACACCAATGGATAAGTTAAAGACTTAAATTAAACTAATTAGTTGGTATGGTTGCTGATGTGATATCTTGAGCCATTTGGTTGACCTAAACAAAAGTACATGAAGGATCATTTATCTTCATTTCACTGGATAAATTGAATTTTTTGTTGAGCATCTTACTTATGAAAGTGAAAAAACAGAATGGGCGCCGAATTATATTTTCAGTGTTTCTAGTTGAGCTGCTGACTGGTTTTTGATTCTTTAGTCTTCAGTTCTGCATTCTCAGCCCAAGTCAACAGTTGGAACACCGGCATACATTGCTCCAGAAGTCTTCTCCAGAAAAGAGTATGATGGAAAGGTAAGACACTTGAACTATTTTTTGGTTTAACCTGATAATGTTGTTATCAGTTAACTACCCAGAATTAAATTAATGATTTATATGTTTAATATTCTACATATGCATAAATGGATAAAGATTGCAGATGTTTGGTCTTGTGGGGTTACACTATATGTGATGTTGGTTGGTGGTTATCCATTTGAAGACCATGAGGATCCTAGAAATTTCAAGAAAACCATCACAGTATTACATCAAACTGACTTTTCTTTCTTATTTTGATTTCATTAATGCTCTTCTTACGGACTTTCCGTTTTCTGTTGTTTTGGTGCAGAAGATACTAAGCGTACAATATTCAATCCCAAGCTATGTTAGAATATCTAAGGAGTGCAAACATCTCTTATCTCGGATATTCGTGGCTGATCCCGACGAGGTCAATTTCAAGCTTACCCCTTCTCTCATTTCTATACATAATTAAGGTCCTGGACAATTTTTAAGA